AATTTAATACAAGTTTACTAAAATGCACCTATGATGCTGAACACCATAGGTGCTATTCTCAAAAATGTATTAAGTAATAGAGTCGATGATTCTAAGTAAAAATGTTCAGGTCCCCCGAAAACCTTAGGTGTAAAACGCACCTAGTATCACCACCAAAATCATGTACGTAATCGGTTGTTAAATTTCAATCCAAGCATAATAATAACAAAATCATGATATTTTCGAATTTATTATTATTATTATTATTAAAATTATTTATTGGAATTTACTTAATTACCACTGCAAATTCTAAGTCGAATTACTTTCAATTCAAATATTTAAATGCATTTACATTTAGTTCAAATTTTTTTTAAATACACGTATAAACTTTAAATGCTACCAGTAAAATATTGTTACGACCGCTCCAAGTTTTTGGAAGTTTTTTTGCTTGTTCAAAATCTTTAATGTCATCCACCATTTTTTGGATAGGCTTAAAGTTCGATTCAATGCTTCGAAGCCATTTTTTTTGTTTGGGAATATTATTAGATTTTTCAAAACAATCGAGCACCTAAAACATAAAATATATTTATATAAACCTGAAAATATAATGATAATAAAAAAGAATCTTTATACCTCATGAAGAGTTTTTTTGTACTTTCTTAAAATTTCAGATTCGGATTAACTATCTTCAGTACTCGATTCCTCATTATATATGTTTTCATTTTCGGATTCATAAGGTCAATCATTAAATTATCTTGTGCATGATTAATTAAAGTTGGTCTAATATTTTCCCATAAAAAGTTTCCTTAGCTTCCGAAAAAAAGGATACTGAGAATTTCGTTGCACCTAAATTAATATAAGATTAAATTTGAATTTTTTTTTTTAAAAAAAAAAAATAATATAATAACAGACCTTTTGAAAAAATGATGCATCCATCTTCCCAAGAGGATTAACAAGGTGTTAGCATAATAAAAATCTGTCCAATAGGTAAATGAAGTAGTCTTGATTTGTTTATTATTGTATTTTTTATGGTAAAACCATCTCCTTTTTCACAGATCTTTACGATCTCAAGTGTTAATGAACTTGCAAAAACTTCTTCGGTGTCATTTACTTCCAATTCATTAATTATTCAAGTATCCACAGCTATCTCAAGATTCATATGTATATTGCTTTCTTCTTAACATCCATAAGCTTTTCATAAACTATAAACCATATGTTTAATCTCTTCGGATTTTACAGCATTTTCTTTTTGCTTGCAAGTATCACTTAAAATTTGATCTTCACATTTTCTTTTTCGGCTTTCATTTATACAGTTTGAACACTCAAAACAAGTTTTTTGATTACTTTGAAATGCAAAAATGGGTTTTATAGTTCGAAAAATGAACAAAGTTTTGAATTTTCTATTTTACAATATTCAAAAAAAAAAAAAAAAAATTCAACGTAAATAGTTATTATTATATATACTATTATTATTAATAATCAAATGTCGTATCAATTATTAAATTTAATGTCGGAAAAAAAGTTCGTGTATTACATATATTTAATAATTAATCAATATATATTTCAGTACAAGGATTGAGATTATAAATATTATAATACAGTTAATTAATAAAAATCATTAAAAACATGTGACAACTCGAGACTAACAGTTCAAACAATAAAAATTTATTGCTTTTATTTTTCAAAACGTTAAGGTATATAGCAATATTAATATAAGTGATTCTTTAATTAATAAGGGTTTTAACGTTCTGTCTTGTCACCCTTAACAGATTTGATTGGCTAATTTTAGGTTCTGTAATCTATTCATTTTTTTAATTTTGTTAATTTCGTTCACTTATTTAAACACCTAAAAGAGCTCGTCGCCGAAGTGGTAACTCACTTGGTTAATTTATTCAATTTCCGACTAATTAAAATTTTACTTGAATGAGGTGCTTGAGAACACCCTTAGTCTGCCATGTAAGCTTACTAAATTTTTTTGTCAAATATTTATGAAGACTTCCATTATCAGCATACTGAAAGACCATCAAGTATTCTTCTGTTCTGTGTTATTGGCTATTCCATATATTGCGAGATTACTTACTTTACATTCCATAAGACTTTTAAACTTTAAAGTTTAAATAACGAATTAGTTCAAAAACTTAAACTATTAGATAAATTATAATAAATTAAACTTACTTTTAAGAAGTTAGTATTCTCAGAACAGATTAACGTCTTAGGTGCAACGATACTATTTGATTCACGGGACTTTTGTAGGAATAGTTGTCATTATCAACTTTAATTTTTTTACTTTTCGTATGTCATCCAACCAGGTTGTTTTGTATACAGAGCCAAATCCTCCTTTACCGATTTCATTATCATCAGATAATCTGTCAAATGGATCGCAATTTCATAATTCCAGGCTCTAAGTTGGAACGTTTTCATACAATCAATATCTTTATTTCCACTTGTCCTTGTTATCATTACAATGTGCACATTTCCAAATTTGGAATCTCTATACGTTTTTATTTCGCATCTGCAATTTTAAACTTTATACCGAATGTAAATAATTTTATACTTACCGACTAAATTAATGCGAATGAAATAATTTATAAGTAATGGCAAATAAGTACTTATATTCTTTTTTTGTGAATTTGGTTTGCTATTTTTATTTCGTAAAATTATTAAATGTCCTTTATTAAGATGTGAACATGAATCTATTAATTTACAATAGATTCAAATAAAAAAAAATTCGACCCGTCGACTAGAATTTTGGAACACCAGGTTATGCAAACGAAAAATTAATTTCGTGGTCTTATCCCTTAAACCGTCAGGTTGGCGGCCAAATTTGACTGCTAGACGGTTTAAGGGATAATTATACATGTTAAATTATGAAACCATCTTGAAGAATTTTAAAAAGTTGACTGAACTAAGTCTCTCTTAAGTATTTAAATAAGAAAAATAATTTCGTAACTTTGCTTGGTGAGCTATAATAATGGTTCTTGCGAAATTTATCCTAAACCGTTAGGGCCGTGCATTTATTTAATTTTTGTGAAAAATTATAAAATTGCATTCTATGAAACTCTAAATAAATTTTTACATATCAGATATAGGCACTCCAACGTACGTACGTACTAAGTAAAATTGTGGTTAACGTTAACGTTAATATTATCGCTTAATGCCGGCATAGCTCTGATGCATTCCGACCCCAAAAATTTGGCCGACCAGGTTACGGACTACAAAAATCAAACAAGTTATAACTCAATACATATAACAATCTAAAAGCTATGACAATAGTAGAGATGGTAGGATTTTGTATAAAATAGTGTTTCAAATCAGCCGTATATTTATGACTTAAATAAGAGTGTGGCAAATGAGCTGCAAGTCGGTTGATTTGGAAAACTAGTATACCTTGTAAATAAAATTTTAGAACTATGTTTTAGGATCATGCAACATTTTTATTCACCTCATACAAAATATAGAAATTACCGGTAAGATGAAATCACGAGGAATGATCATTCAATCAGATACCAAGAATCAGCGACTCCACTTAACTTGCTATTATAATAGCCATATTCTTCGTTGCGCCCCGTCCCTGATATGTATGATATACAAAGTATACCAAATGAGTATATTCTATAACAGTATCGAGTTAAACCAAATCTAAAATGGAAAATTCTAAAATATATTAATTAGAATATTAAACTCGAACGTAATTACAAAAATCAAAAAAAATATTCTATTATTATTTAATAATAAAATATAATTTCCTTTTACTGATTAATAAAATCTATATCGATATTATAACGCATTAACACCTATCGCTATGCCCTATTTTAGACATTACTCAACAATGGCTGTATCAAATCAGTAAACCATTCTAATCGAAAAACTATGAATAACCATGTGGTAAAGCCGTGGCTTAAGAGACTGCACCCGGACGTGTGGCAAAAAGAAAAAAGCAGATCGAGTAGAAAAAGCGTAGTAAATAGAAAGTAGCAAAGTTTTAGAATAGAATTTGAATAAAGTATTGCGAGAAAAATTATCCTATTGAAATAAATTTTTATAAAGTATTTAATTATAAAAAAAAACAATATTTCAGTATTTTTGACTTTTTTTCGTTATGATAATATTAAGATTTGGAAATATAAAAAACATTTCCATTAGTATTCCAGATATTAGTTGTTCATGAGTTAACTGCGTCTAATAATTCAACTCCTTACTGCGTTGTTGAATGAGCAAAGGTGGGTATTGTTCAGCCACATTTGTTTAAATTTGCCTCTTTAGGCAATTCTTAATAGCAAAGGTTATTATTTGATAACGCCAACGCTAAGGGTGATTATTTTTATTTATAGCAACAAGTAATAAGATATTATACGTATACTATATATGAGTGCCGTCAAAGGATATCTTGTGTACAGTTAGTCGCCTATGAAAAACCTATCAAGATGATAGATTTTCCATAGATGGCTAACTGTAAACAACATATAATTGAAAGTCAGGTTTTCCTTTGACAACACTCATATAATATAATTTCGTCAATAAAAATCTGCTATTTTAATATAACAGATAAATTGCGCCGACAATGAATCACATGACTTGCTAATTCTAGTACAAGTAATAAACGATAACGATAACGATAATGAATTGATATCATTTTAATATATTAGTGTTTTTTTTTTAACCAACGTCGTGATTTCATCATAATTATATGATGCGGGTTTACCAACTTTAGACTATGACAAGTAGACATCATAATTACATATTTATTTATCACTATCGCTATTCATCAGATAATAGAATCTATTTTTCATATTACAAATTCTAATATAAAAGAATTCATCAGATTATTTCCAATATAAAAAGATATATAAGTAGGGTCGGTTAAACAAAAAAGGCACTTGTTTTTCTTGCTAGTTTATCATTTTATCGTTTCATACAAATACAAAAAAAAAAAAAAAAATTTTATTTCGTAAAGTTTCGTATCGACAAAATTAAACATGAAGAACCTATTTTATATTTTCGTAACAATTGCTCTCGTCCTCATGATAGCCACTGAAAATGGAGGTTGGGTCAAAGGACAAGGACAAGGTAAATCGACTATAACTGAAACTGTTACTACAACTGTAATGATTACGGGAGAACCAACAACGGACAGAGGTAAAAAAGCAATAAAGAAAAAACGAAAGAAAAAACAAAATGCTTAATTTGCAAATGGAATTTAAAATAGATCATCTTGATTATTACATTGCATTAACAAATCAATACTATTTTAACAGGCACACCTACTGGAACGGGGACGGGAACAGGCACCACCATGTCAACAGTGTCTCAAACTCGTACATCAACATCGACAACAACAGCAACACCAAATCCTACAGGTACCACGACTTTCACTACTACAACTCACACAGGAAGTCCAATCAACGCTCCATCACCAACATCTGGTGCAACAAATCCTTATTTGGATGGAAGCCTTGGTGCTATGATCGGTATTGCAGCTTTTTTGATGGCTTGGGCTTAAATAGAATATTAAGCTTGAATAGTGAATTTTTTTCAAAAGTAGAATAAGGTGCACATAGGATGTTATGATGTTTTTTTTTTTTTTTTAATTACTATCACAAGCATTATTATCCATCTGTATTTGCATGAATGTTTTGCGTTATATGAAAGTATAAGAAATTTGAAATTAAATAAATTTTATTGGTAGCTAGTGAAATATTTTGCTTTCTATTCATTTTTATTTCGTCCGTTATAGTTTAAGGATCTGTCAAGAAGCAGCATAAACACTTTGTCACTTTAAGTAATTTTTCGTTAGTAAGCATAGTATAATTTTACTGAAAATTTTGTAACAATGTTAAAATCGAATTATAAATTCGAATGAATTATTTTAAGAACAAGTCTTCTTGTCTTAAAAATACACATGAATAATAAATTTATCAAATGTCCTAATTCCTTACTAATAGCCTCATAGTTATTAAAAATGTGTTTTAAGACTTTTTGGTGAATAATTTTTTCTTTTTCGGCTATTTCTTTTTTTATTCTTGTTTTTTTTTATCTTGAAGTCGGGTAATCAATTCTTGAATGTTAATAATTCCAACATTAGTTTCTGCTTTTGCTTTGTCTTCCTCCTTTTCAACTGCTAAATCATTGTTTTCTTTTAATCCACCAAATTTTAATCTTTCTAGCTCTCTTTGAAGCTCTTCTTTCTTTTTTAGATATTCAAAATAATCATCAGCAATATCCTCACTCAACGTCTATTGGTACCGCTTTTTGTATATTTCGAAATTGGCAATGTTGTTAATAGATCGATACATATAACAATTAGCATATTAACTGTATCATAAACCCGAACTATATTCTATCTACAATAATATTAAGTTTATTAAATAAATAAAAATCTATTTATTATCCGTATTGTATTTGATTAAATGTACAATTAATCATTTTTCGACCGCTAAGTAAACGTAGTACATAATCTAAAAAATTAATAAAGATCGGATTACGTAACTCGTCTCTATATACTCTTAATTACTTTTTTTTTTGTTACTTAATTCTAATCAGACTTGCAAAAAGATTACGATATTTCTATCGTTGACGTGATCTCAAGCATCTCTATGTACCATTACGTATATATTTCAAATCGAAATTTCATTCGCATTAATTTAGTGGGTGAGTATAAAGAACATTTATTAATCAATGGAATTAAAAATAAGTTCACAAATCAAGAACATAAATACTTATTTACCATTACGTTTAAATTCATTTCATTCGCATTAATCATTTTATTCAGCTCGTGAGTATAAAGAACATTTATTAATCAATGGAATTAAAACCAAGTTCACAAATCAAGAACATAAATACTTATTTACCATTACGTTTAAATTCATTTCATTCGCATTAATTTAGTCAGTGAGTATTAAAGAACATTTATTAATCAATGGAATTAAAAACAGTAAAAATACTTATTTACCATTACGTTTAAATTCATTTCATTCGCATTAATTTAGTCGGTGAGTATAAAGAACTTTATTAATCAATGGAATTAAAAACAGCAAAACAAATTCACAAAACAAGATCATAAATACTTATTTACCATTATGTTTAAATACATTTCATTCGCATTAATCACTTTATTCAGTATGTGAGTATAAAAGAACATTTATTAATCAATTGAATTAAAAAACAGCAAAAGAAGTTCACAAAACAACTTCATAAATACTTATTTACCATTACGTTTAAATTCATTTCATTCGCATTAATTTAGTCAGTGAGTATTAAAGAACGTTTATTAATCAATGGAAATAAAAACAGCAAAACAAGTTCACAAAACAATAACATAAATACTTATTTACCATTACGTTTAAATTCATTTCATTCGCATTAATCATTTTATTCAGTGAGTGAGTATAA